CACTAGCAGAGGGATGGCCTAGCTTGACCCATACTGCTGAGTCCTGTGGGTGAGAATTCACAGGCTCACAGTCTGAGTACTGATTGCCAGAGAGCCTTGGCAGGACTCGGGGGCGGGGCTAAGACTCCAGAAATCATCCTCAGTTCTTAGCTGCCCTTCACGAGCACACGGAACTACAGAGATCAAGATGGGGCCTCTAAGATTAGTTTATGTAGGTTCACATATCGATTGCTTAACATCTAGTAACCTTTTGACAGATGTGCTTCAATTTCCCCAACTGAGAAACGGGGATAACAGATGACAACCACCGCCACCCACCACCCCGACCCAGCTCAGGGGCCTTGTGAGGATAGACAAGTATTTGTCTCAATTATTGAGGTCCAGCATCAAGCAAACGGTAATGAGCCGCTGCTATCAGCGCTATAATGTTAAAAGCATTAGGCCCACAGGAAATTGGGAAAAAAGGAATGTAGCAGGGGCCTACACTGCCATTCCTATCTCTGCTTATGGTGACATCTAACAAGATCGGAGTAGAATGATGGATCTATCAGGACAGGGGTATGTGCACGGGGTCTTGGACCTTACCCCAAGTTTTACAATGTTCCCAGCTAATGGGTATTGCCCAGTTTAGGTTTCTAAAGACCTGAGAAGCCACAGCAGAAGTGTCAGCTTAACTAGCCAGCACCAATAAAAAGATAAACTCTTGTTGCCTTAAATGGCTTGAGATAGACACAGAGAGCAGACTCTTCTTGGGCCTGCCTGGGTAACAACACTCGGACTTTGACGATCCCCCATGGAAGGCCTCACCCTCCCTGGGGAGTGGATGGGGGGGTGGAATTGGGGAGGGTCTGTTGGGGGCATGGGATGATGGGAGGGAGAGGGAACTGGGATTGACATGTAAAATAAGATTGTTTCTAATTTAAATAAAAATTTATATAGAAAAGAATTACTTCTTTTTTAATAAAATAAGATGCCAGTGGCCTTTTGGAGATCTGGCTCCAAAGCCACTCAAAAAATTCACAAGGGCTATTTACCCATTTTTTGGGGGTAAACAAGGAAACACACATTACTTTTACACAGTTACATTCTCCACACAGCTACATATCTGTCCACAGTTACATTCTCCACATACATCTTTCCTATGTACACTTCTCTTCTATACAGCTGTATTTTCTATCTCTCTCTCCCCACTCAACTACATCTCTCCACATTTCTTTCTCTCTGCACATTCTGCTACATCTCCCCATCATTACATACACACACACACATACATACACACACATACACACAGACACACACACATACACACAGATATACATACACACACAGACACACATACATACACACATACAAACACACAAACACATATACATACACACAGACACACACATACAGACACACACATATACAGACACACAGACACACACACATTTACACAGACACACATAGACACACACAGACACACACATACACACATACACACACAGACACACACATACACACACACAGATACACACATACACACACACAGACACACACACACTTTTCTCCTAATTCCCCCTGCATCTCTCTTGCTGCTTCTCCTCCTACAGCAAAGCCTCTGGACAAACACATCTCTCGGGGCCACACAACACTTCTTGAGAAAACAGTAAGAAACAGAGCCAAACTGACCTCACAGTTTCTCTCAGGATAGGGAGATCACGCTGACTGACCAGTGAGTGAAGTAAGCACGTAGCTCTAAGTGGCCAGACAGTGACATTGAAATTCAGGACTTAACAGCTGGTTGGCTGAACCTTGGTGGGGAGTATGTACAGAAAGTCCATTGCCGAGAAGGTGATGTCTACTAAAGATGGGTCATGCTCTGGCCTTGAGTCAGCAATAGGCACCTGGGAGGTTGACCTCCTGTACTTGTCCCTAGGAGCATCTCCAGGGGCAGCCGGTTTGCTTTGAGTTTGTTCTGAAGTCTAAAATCCACTGTCTTTGTGACTGAGAATGCTATTACTTTCCTATGGCAGTCTGAGTCATGAGAAATGTCCTGGTGTTATTTCTATTCATCAGGATTATACACCTTGAGCAGAGATCACCTTCCTGACCACCCGCAGCTGTCTGTGTGCCCAGTAGACGGGATATTTTCATGAGATAAACACACAAGCCGTGGGGAGAACACACAGCTGTTGTTAGTGGCACATGAGAAAAATCACAAAGTTATCTACAGCCAGTGATCCGTGGCTTTGCCGAGTGGGGCTCCCCATCAGAGTCACTCACATGGCAGGTTTGCCGCCCTGTTGAACACTGGTTGTTACCTGGTGTTTGCTCCCTCAGCCTCTGGCAGCATACCCTAGGATACAATGAATTATGCATTTCCATGCTTATTTGTTGAACTGTCTTTGGGCTCGCACCAGCTTTGAAAGAAACGAACCTCTCAAGGTTTAGGGGATTTTGCATCTTGCCCATTTCATTTCATTTTATTTTTATTACACATTTAATTATATATTTAAATTAGGAAAAGCTTGCTTCCCATGTTAGTCCCAGCTCCCTCTCCCTCCCCTCCACACCTACTCCCCCAGCGCCCCCAACCCCCTCAGCCCCCCACCCAATCCCCACTCCATTCTCTAGGGAGGGTGAGACCCTCCATGGGGGATCTAAAAATATGGAACGCTTCATGAATTTGCGCATCATCCTTGATGAGCAGGGCTATGCTAATCTTCTCCGTATCGTTCCAATTTTAGTATATGTGCTGCCGAAGCCAGCACTTATTTTTTAAAGATTTATTTATTTATTTATTTATTTATTTATTATGTATACAGCATTCTGTCTGCATGTATGTCTGCAGGCCAGAAGAGGGCGCCAGATCTCATTACAGATGGTTGTAAGCCACCATGTGGTTGCTGGGAATTGAACTCAGGACCTCTGGAAGAGCAGCCAGTGCTCTTAACCTCTGAGTCATCTCTCCAGCCCGTTCATTTCTCTGTCTCTCTCTCTCTGTCTCTGTCTCTCTCTGTCTCTCTCTCTCTTTCCTGGAACTCCCTCTGTAGACCAGGCTGGCATTAAACTCACAGAGATCCGCCTGCCTCTGCCTCCCCAGTACTGGGATTAAAGGTGTGCACCACCACCGCCCAGGTATTTACTTACTCTTATGTGTATACTTCACTCGTGGGTGTGTGGAGCTCTCTGCAGTGGGTTCTCCGCCGCCTTTATGTGTGTTCCGGGGATCAAACTCAGGTGGTGAGGCTCGTGTGGCGAGCTGAACTATCTCACCAGTCCTTGGTTTTTGTTTTTATCTATCATGGCCGGAGATACAGTTCAGTGGCTAAGAGCCCTGGATGCTCTTCCAGAGGACCTGGATTCAGCTCCCAGCACCCACACAGCAGCTTACAGCTTTCTGTAACCCCAGTACTATGGGATCCTCCTTCTCTGGCCTCTGTGGGCACAGATACACATGCTGGCAGCAAAGTATACAAAACAAAGATTATTTATATTTACACATATGCGTGCGAGCTATGTGTACCATATGAATACAGACCCCCTCAGAAAGCAGGAGGCCTAAGAGCCTCCGGAACTGGGATTGCAGGCAGGGGTGGACAGCTTGATGTCAGCGCCGAGAACCCAACCTGGGTCCTTTGCAAGAGCAACAAGCGCTCTTAATCGCTGCTCATCTAGCCACTGGCTTTGTGTTTCAAGACAGCGACTCCCGCACTACATTGCTCAGGCTGGCTCTGAACTCCCCTCTTCCTTGAATCTGCTTCCGGAGCGTAGGACTTACCCACAGTGTGTGCCACCACCACACCTGCCACCCTCCGAGATCTGAACATTCTGCACCTACTAGCACTCAGTACAGGATGGTGCCCCCGGGAAGAGCGGCCCCCAGGGAGTTCTCAGGAGCTCAGGGTACTCAGACCAAGAGGGCACAGCCAGGGCGCAGAGACTGCCGAGAAGGGGGACAGCAGCAAGTGTGGGGCGGCCTGGCAGGCAGGAAAGGAGCCCCTGATGCTCACATACCCAGGCTGGGCTCCCACATAGGGCTCAAGCACCACGGTCACCACGGCAACCTTCCTCCCTCAAGTTCCTTGCTTTTCTCATCAGGGGAAGAGGTGGAGCTGGGCGACCATGGCTTTGTTGCACTCAGTGTGGCCAAGGACAGAGTGGGCTTGGGGGGGGGGGGGGACCAACGGGATGGGGGAGCCAATGATTAACTGTAGACTGAGCTATGCTTGTGAAAACCCATAGGAGTCTCTACTACACCGCCTCATCCATACTATTTGTGCGTAGGAGCTCAGTATCTTTAAGCACATTCTTGGTGTCACCATGCCTAACCTCTGTCTCCACAGCCTTCCATCCCCCCCAACACCCCACCCACTACACCCTGGCTACTAGCCCCGCCCCCGCCCCCCCATAGCCATGGTCCTGCCTATGAATTCCATGACTCTATTTCAGAGTGGAGTTATTATGTAGTAATTATTCTGTAATTGTCTCATTCCACTCAGTGACTTCACCAAGGTCTTCACATATGCACAGTAGCACATGGCGGGCTGACTTTTCTTTAAAATTTTGTTTTTTTTGGGGGGGGGTATGAGACAAGGTCTTGCTATGTGGCTCTGGTTGTCAAGGAACTCACTAGGTAGACCAGGGTGGCTGTGGTCTTGTGGTGACCCTTCTGATGCACCCTCCTGAACACTCACTGAGCAGTGTCCGCTGTTTCTCAAAGTCACGTGTGCTTACTCACTGGCTACGGTGAGCACTGAGGGGCGCAGCTGCTGTGGACCCCGCAGGAAAAGTGTCTGATACCCCATCTCCTGAGCACACTGACTTAGGAAAACGAGTTGCTGGATTGTCTGGGAGATCCCAGCCTCAACCTGTCCTGAAGCAACCAGGGTGTTTTCCACAGCAGAAGACATTACGTTTTTTCCCTACCTACACTCAAAAGGATAAGATTGGGAGCTGGAGAAAAACACTGGCATACATAATTCACAACTGCACCAAATAACATATGGAGATTCAACTGTCATTCATAAATACAAAATTTTATTTGCACTTCATTAGTGTAGAAAGACCACGATGCTTCTCATAGCACAACACTCAGGACACACCAAGTTATTCAAATACATACTTATTTACCTTGACTAAACAAAACAGTGCAGTTTAATAAAAGATATACCAAAGATAGAGTTCACAAATTCCTTATCAGACAAAAAGAAAGAAAAAACAAGAAAAAAAAAAACCCAAGAAAACTTGAACACAGTCTAGAGCTTTCTAGGATAAACTTCACCATCAATGGGAGGTCATCATTACAAAGATACGGGTGTCTAGGCAAATGCATGTATGCTTTTTGATATAGTAAAATGTAACTCTTAAAATCCCTTTAAACAGGATTTGTGTAGGACAGCAGAGTGTGGTTTTAAAATCTCTTCTATAGTTTCAAAAATTCAACTTTACTTTTATTTCCTTCCCTCCCTCCTTGTGGTGCTGGGGACTGAAGCTCAACACACTGAGCTACAATCCCTGCCCAACAGTCCTTTTTCAACCGAATCTTTGTCGTTCTTAGAAACATCCATCACGGCCACTGGAAACCTCCAGATCCTGCAGCCGCGGGACCCAGTGGAATCCAGCCCTCTGCCTAGGAGAAGTCACTACAGAACCCGATAGACAACTCCTTGTCGGCTGTGGAGCGTTGCTTTGGGGCAGATATACTCCAAACCTCAAGAGGCCACGGCTGGGGAAGCCTTGTAAATAAAGAAAAGGCAGTCGTCATATCTTCTCTTTCAAAAAAAATCTTCAGTTTTGTGGATTTTTCGTTGAAACGGAACGCGAAGCACCAGGCCCTTTCTTCCCATTGGCGCATCTGCCTCGTAGTGTAATTAGCAAGGACGTTTGCAGCCCTCAAGAGACAGCACACCTTTCTTCTCTCCAGCTCTCCACACCAGGAGTACCATACCTCCCGGCGTGCGCAGGCCACACACTGGAGTAACGGGGAAGTAATGCAGTTTGAAGGGAAGTATGTGGCTCATAGCCCGACCTTACCCAGGATTGCATATTTGCATATTTACAAGTTAGTGTACAGCTGACGTGGGTTACAAAGTGCGAAAGGAAACTGTCACATGATTGTAGTGCACAACAGAACGGTTTCCCCGCTTCCGGGGACTGTTTGCACTCTGTCTCCAAAGCGGCCGATCAACAGCATCGGACATGTGGTCTGGGAGGAGGCAGCTCTGGTGGGATCTCAGGCTCTGGCTGTAGCGAGAGGATGCTATTGGATAACTCGTTCCTCAAAATGTCAAGAGGCATCTGAAGGACAAGGAGAGAACACAGAGACCTTAGTCTTTCGGGCGAGAGGGCATGTCCTGAATCGCACGACCTTTGCGTTATGTGTATGGGGGTGTTTTCCTGCATGTATGTCTGTGTCACATGCCCGTTACCCAATGAGGCCAGAAGGGGGACGTTGGATCCCCTGGGACTGGAGTTACAGACGGCTGTGAGATGCTGGATGGGTGCCGGGAATCGACCCTGGGTCCTCTTGAAGAGCGGCCAATGCCCTTAACCACTGAGGCATCTCTCCAGCCCCTGAAGCTTTCTAACGCCTTTAGGAGAGGCTGGGAAGCAGCTTGGTCATAAATGTTTGCCCAGCATGCGTGAGGATGCCCCAGGCTTGGTCCCTAGCAATGTGACAAGAACCACATGTTCTTTGCACCGAATCTACTGTAATGAAAATTCTACATATTAATCACCAGGAAACTGGCCCATTGTCTGAAGGAAGCAACAGCCCCCGCCAGTGCTTCTAAATCATGTCACATCTATGGGGCCTCAGTGACATAACCGGTTAGTGCTTAACAGTTAGCCTTCCTACCTGGAAGGTTCCACACTGACAGATGCAATGAAACGCTGAGGGACAAATCTGGGAGAAGGCAACTGCGTCTGTAACATGCACACGCTGCGGCTGTTCACACAGCACTGTGCACTGTCTAGCGATGGCTTGCAGGGTTCCTAGAATCACCCCTCTGGGGGACACCACCTAGTGGCTGACAGATGTTGAAGGGCAGCCGCTGCCTGGTGAGGCCGCCCGGCATCCTCTGTGAAGGTGACCTCCCTGTCTGGAGAGAGGGGCCCAAGGAAGACCAGGAGCTGTGGCCCTTCTCCAAGGAGGGCTTCACAGCACCAGGGGGCTCCACGTTAAACTCAATTCTTTGGGAAAAGGAGAAACAAGGAAAGGAAGGTGGCGTAGATACGGCAGCTTATTTACCTGCAGTGCTGGAGACTGAGCCTCGCGTCTGCTAAGCAAATGCTGTGCCTCAGCGCTATGCTCTGCCCCGGGCTATTTATACGCTGCTAGGCAGGGGTCGGGGCATCAAGAATGCTAGGCAAAGGTTCTGCCAGCTTCTCGTGGTCACTAGACCTTGTGTAAGGCACTCCAGAACGTTCTACCTCAAGGAAAGCAAACAAGACCGTCTACCAAGCCTAAGGACTCCAGACTTGCACACGAGCGACAGCTGCCATGGCAGCTAGCTGAGCAGGCACATTTATTTATTTTTACCTTCTTCAGAATGTCATCAACGAGTTTCAGAAATATCTCATCCACATTGAAATTGTCCTTGGCGCTGGCTTCACAGAACCGCATCCCAGTTATCTGCTGTGCAAACTGAGAAGACATGTGCCCGTTTTAACCACGTGGTGCAACCCAGACCTGTGACCCGTGTGTGTGTGTGTGTGTGTGTGTGTGTGTGTGTGTGTGTGTGTGTGTGTGTGTATGCACACACGAGTGCGCACGCCAGGCCAAGTCTCTGACAGGCGCACTGACTCTGTGCTTTACCACTAAGGGTGGGGGAGCCCAGGGTCTGTAAAGTCCCATTTATGTTCAAATATCAGGTTCATGTGTACAGCAAATTCCTGTAAGTAAATAGCAATATATATATATATATATAAAACACAAAATCTCTGGAGAACTTTAAATCCTATTATGTTTGTAAGAGTCTAAATGTACAGTGTATCTGACATTTAAAATACGAGTGTCCATGCTTCTCCATGATTGGACCCTTAGCAAAAATCAAGGCAGGAGAAAAAGAAGCTGTGAAAGCAAATCTTGCAACCTGAAAACATTATTTTTTTCCTGTATAAAATGTCAGCTAACATAATAACACACCATGTGCTAATGTGGTTAAGTCTCTGCTTCCACTGAATCCAAAGAAGAGACAGGAAGTGAACAATCTGGAGGGCGTGCTGGGGGCCATTACTGCACACGCTCTGTATTCCCACAGCACGCCCGGGAGCGGTTTGCGGGCACGCTGGGCAGAGCAGGGGGTGCCGCCTGGGAGCGGCCGGCATCCACGCACCTTTTCTCCTTGCTGCTTGGAGATTTCTCTGTCTGCCTCGCAGTCCAGCTTATTTCCAACCAGGAGCAGCTCAGCATCTTCCGAAGCATACTGCGGGATTTTCAGAAGCGTCACACATTGACAGACAGTGCAAACTCACACAGCTTGTCACCAGTTGCCTTCTGTTCATTCCCCTCCACTGCCTCTGGGCACCTCTGGGGGGAGGGGGATGGGAAACGCAGGGACAGGACATGCAGGGACTTCTGAGAGGCATCAACAACTACCGTGGCCCCGGCCCCAGCCATTCCTAAGGCACCGTTAAGGAGATGTTTAAAAACAACAGACACAGCTGTGCGCTCAAGAAGGGTCGCCAGCTGTGAAAGGCAACAGAATGGGCCAGGAGTGAAGCCAGGTGCCACGGACCAGGCAGGTCCTTCTGCTCTGAGGACTCCAAGGCCCTCACGGTACCATACCTGGAGGTAAAATGGAGTCAGCCCGAGATCGTAAACTTACTTTTATGCTACAATGAAGTTAGCATTAACTCTACAATCCAGAATGATTTTAACTATATCTGCAAGGTTTTATTTAAAAAAATAAAGGTACCTCTCAAATAAACTCATCCCATTTTGTGTACTTCTGAAAAAAGAAAAATCATTTGAAACGGACTGCACTGGAGGAACCTGGGGATCACGGCCAAAGCACTCTTGAGGCCAGGAGACGGGGTGGGAGGCAGCTCCCTATGTGGGTGTCTTGCTGACATGTAGGCATCAGCGAGAGCGCCAGCCTGACTGGCTAGCATGATGGGACAGGCTGGCCCAAAGTGAGCGTCCCAGAGATGACAGCCTTAACGGCCTGGGCTGTGCGCACCTTTGACCCCAGCACTTGGGAGGCAGGGGCAGGAGGATCTCTTGTGAATTCGAAGCCAGTCAGGGAGGGCTACATAGTGAGACCCTGGAGAGAGCAGGGGTGAGGGGGGAGGGAGGAGAGAGGAGAAAATAGCTCTTACACCAAGAACGATACACAGAACACAGGACAGGCTGGGGCACCGTCCTTGGTGGATTCACAAACCCAAACACCTAACAGGCCCTCGCTCACCACATTTAGACTACTGTGTAAGCGGTGTCCGCAGGAGCAACTCCAAGGTTTCACACAGAGGGGACTCCTCCGCGGCCAACAAACATATGCTAGGCCTGACTAAGGGGTGTGGGCTTACAGCTGCAAACATGGATCTTATAATGGGCCCTGAAAAATCATTTTCAGGAATGTAAGCCCCCAAAGACTAAGGCCAGTGGTGGAAGGTAGACCAGCTGGTAAACCCTTGCTGTGTTAAGCGGGAGGACCTTAGTTTGAAGGCTGCAAAACCCTGCGTGCGGTTTGAACGAGAATGTCCCCCATAGGCTCCGGCATTTGAATACTCGGTCGCAGGTTGGTGGCGTTGTTTTGGAGAGCTTCGGAGGTGTGGCCTTGTTGGAGGAGGTGTGTCACAGGGGTGGGCTTTGAGAGTTAAACTCACACCATTTCAAGTTCTCTCTTCACTCTGCGCTTGGCGTTTAGGAAGTGAGCTCTCAGCTTGCTGCCCCGGCTGCTGACCTGCCTGCCGCCATGCTTCCCCACTCTGACGGTGAGGGGCTCGTCTCCCTCTAGAGCCCCAAGGCAAAACAAACTCTTCCATCCATGACTTGCCTCAGTCACGGTCTTTTATCACAGCAACAGAAGAGTAACCAGAAGCAGCTGCGGTGAGTGTTTCAACCCTGTGTGCAAGTCTGCTTAACAGGTGAGCTCAGGAGTCAGAAAAACCTTGCTAAAGGCCTGGCCCGCCCAGAATCTGACTCTGACGATAACTTCCAGCGAACAAACGCTGTTCCAGGCACATTCCGGACACCAACCAGCTCTTTGTGTGTTTGCTTTCTGATTCCGAGTCCCTCCCCGTGCCTGATCTTAGCTGGCTTTAAGAGTCACTAATTCTGGAAGTCACGCAGATGAGCCACATGCTATCAGTCTCCCGCTAACTCTGCTATAGGTGACATTTTCAACTCCTCCAGCGTCACTAAAACAGGGGTTTTGATTTTCCTTGTCCCGTGTATGTGCGCATGTGCGTGGGCTCTGTATGGCGCGTGTGTGGAGATCAGGTGACAACCTGCGGCAGTCAGCTCTCTCCGTCTGCCACACGGGGTGCCGTGTTGGGTCGCCTCATGAATTCAGGTCACCAGGCCTGGCAGCGTCCTTACCCACTGAGCTCTCCTGCCAGCCAGCTCAGGCGATGGTTACTAGGCTACTTTTTTAGGGACTCGAAGCTGGCTTTTTTTTTTAACTCTTGACTTGCACCTCTGATGCCATGAGGACTCAAATTCTCCCCCTCAGAAGAGGGCGCCCCAACGGCTAACACCACCACTTCTGCGTATGTGTAAGAGCCACACGGCAGATCACTGATCCCCTGCAATTATCGCCCCCCAACCCCCAACCGTCGGCTTTGCTACCCCATAAAGATCCCTGAACCTATCCATGTCGGTGTGTTGAGACTAGGGCCTTCTCTGTACACGGTCGCTCTCTTGTGGCACGAGGGTGACCGTGTACCCTGTGACCAGCGCCAAGCACAGAGCGAGTGGAGATCTGTGTCTGCCTCGCCCTTTGCTGCTCCTGCTGAGTTTCTCTGTGCAGCCCTGGCTGGCCTGGAACTTGTCACGAAGACCAGGCTTATCTCCAATGCGCGGAGATCCGCCTGGGTGCTGGAATTAAAGGTGGGTGCCAGCATGCCTGGCCCTCCTATTTCTTTCTTTTAAAGATTTATTCATTACATATACAGTGTTCTGCCAATAGGTCACCACCAGATTTAATCGTAGATGGTTGTGAGCCACCATGCGGTTTCTGGGAACTGAACTCAGGACCCCTGGAAGAGCTGTCAGTGTTCTGAACCTCTGAGCCCTCCCTCCAGCCCCGCCCTCCTATTTCTTACATTGGTCCCTAACATACTATGAAGGGAGACATAGGGAAACCTTGCTTAGTAAAACCAGAAGCGAACCTTTTCTAGTAGCTACATGGCATGCCAAGTACAGTCACATTTGAATACAATCATGTGTCTGTAACACAAAGGAATCAAACATCTGATTATTGCATAAGGGGGCAGAGCCTCTCAAATTGTGGTCAACTGTATGTACATGGTCACAGTTCAATCCCAACTGGCCTGTCTTCTGAAGGTGCATTGCTATACACATTTCCTAGAGGAAGATACAGCTCACATTAATCACGAACACAGAATTTTCTATAATGACTCGATTGGAAGCTGAGAGAAATGGTCTCTTGTTCAAAAGGAGGAACTGAAGGACATCTACAAGGCTGAGGACGATTAGACCCTGGACCACCCACGGCACCATAGCGTACACACAGAGTGTCCACTCAACCTTTCTTAGTCCAACTCTGAGCGAGTAAAGAAAGGGTTTTGACCACAATGAGCATTTGTTTCCACAGCTACAGCAAGCTGGTTCTGGGTAATCTATTCCATAACCTCCTCATCTCTAACAAGGCTGTGTATGAATAAGATGACGCTTAGTCCACCAAGGATTCTGTACCATTTTGTTCCCCTTTGACGCTCACAAACGGGGAAGGCGGCACACACATACCTTATCGATCATCTTCATCCATTTTGGCAAGTCGTCGAACGTCTCCTTCTTGGTGATGTCATAGACTAATATGATCCCCTTGGCACTTCTGTAATAGGCTGAGGTAATGCTGTTAAATCTCTCCTGTCCTGCCGTATCCCTAGGAAACAGCAGAAGTCGGTTTCCAAACCAGTGAAGCGGCCAACTCCACATGCTCCTTCTCCACCTGGAGGGCTATGGGGACACTCTTCCCAGCCTTACAGGCGTGAGGGGAAGAGTTCAGGCTGCTTTACACGTGGCTTATCGGCATACAGATTAACAGCTACGTATCAGAAGTGGAGACAGGTTACCCACTGAGGTTACCAGCCGTCAGAGCACCACCCTTCCCCAGAAAGCCTCATCAGGGACATCAGGACATCGACACACGGGGCCATTTGCTTCTTTAAGATAAAAGGGGACACAGCACTCATGACAGCAACCGCAGTTCCCACCGAAGACAACTCCCTAACCTGCTTCTGGTGCCTGAGTGAAAGCTTGCGGCAGGAAAAACCATCCCTTGGAATGACTGCTCTGCGTCCCCCAAATACTCAGCTTGAGCTATTTCCTATCCCCAAAAACCGCCACACACTAAAGTGACTGAGCACACGGAAAGCGAACCACACGCTCCATGTGCACAGCCACGTGACTGAGCACGGGAGAGTGAAGGGTTGAGTCCACTCAACAGGATATTCACGACTACCTAGTGCACATCAGTATGGAGCCACTCGTGTAAAAGCTTTACATATTTCTCTTGTTTTTATGGATGCCTTGCTGCGTGTACGTATGTGTACCACGAGCATGCGCCTGGTGCCTGTGGAGGGCAGAAGAAGGCATCAGATCTTTCTTAGCGCCAGCGTGGATGCTAAGGTCATGCGTGAGAAATTCTACACTTGATCTCAAAAAAATGCAGGCACACCAGAGATGTATGAGATTATCTTCAAGCATATATATAGCATATATAAAACAAACGAGTTTCACATTGAGTCTGGGGACCCATACTCAGGTTAATTCATTGTATCTATGTAAATGTTCCAAAATCAGAAACACTTCTGGTCCCAAACTCTCCGACAAAGAGCATCCAATCTGTGCTTTTACTAAAGAAACACCCGAAGAGAACCGTGACCCCAGGCTTTTCTATATTAGCAAAAGGAGTACAAAAATTATTTCTAACGTTGAACTATTTCTCTGGCTCATTTTTCATCTTTTGAGTAAAATATTTCAGATGAGAAAGTCTTTTGAGTAGCGTGTGATTAATCAAGTAGCTGGAGTATTGTAGAAGTAAGATTCACTGTGGAAATCCCGTCAGGAAGAAGGTTGTATTGGACCGCTGATCAGGCAGCTCCTGGGCACTGGGAGTCACAGGGCCTATCTGCAAGCGTCCGCGGAGAGCACCGCTAAGGGTAAGGCCCACCCTGAGTGAAGCAACAGCGTCGCTTGGGCTGGGCTCTCAGACTGAGCAGTCTCCCAGGCTGCTGAGGTGTGAGTCAGCAGCTCCCGGCTCCCGCCACAGCCCTTCCCACCATGAGGGACCGTACCCCCTTAACCACGAACTGCGACAAGCCATCTTTCCCTTCAATTGGTCTGCTAAGCACTTTCGCAACAAGGGGCGAGCAACAACCAGTCCTGCTTCCTAACCACTGGACTATTCCATGCGGAGCAGTCAGCTTCTCTGTAAATCCTGCACACAGCACCACTCTTCCCGGTGACGTTGCCCAGTGCTGTGCCAACAGCTGCAGAACTTTACAAAGGGTCAGGAGGGGCAGAGGGCACTTTCTGGCGGAACGCTTTCACATCTATGAGAAAAGCAGTCTGAGAGTCCCGTGTGGCGGAATACACACTACCAACTCTCACAGACCAGGCTTCCATACGTCAGGAAAGCCAGGACTGATCAGGGTTGAAGCCACTGTTGGGAAGGCCAGACACAACCGACAAGAGTCACTTGCCCATTCAGATTACAAAAAGAGACTTTTTTTTAATGATGTATATGCATAAGGGCGCCCTCGGAGGCCAGAGGGTGGCAGATCTCCTAGAGTTGGATATTACAGGTAGCTCCGAGTGAGCCATGCACTGTGGGTGTTGGGACCCAAATCCAGGTCCTCTGCAAGAGCAATAGCTGTTCTTCACTGTTGAGTCATGTCTCCAGCCCCAGGACATATTCTGCCTGTCACCCACTCAAACCAGCTGTACACACATCCTAATATTAGCTACATTATCCTTCTCGGGGAGAAGAACACAGCCACAGATGCTAGGTGCAGAGGTGGACCTGTCCTGATCCCTTCAAAAGCTGTCCTGGAGGCGCTTATACTTAGAAACAGCAGCTTGTGCCGGGCGTTGGTGGCGCACGCCTTTAATCCCAGTACTCGGGAGGCAGAGGCAGGCGGATCACTGTGAGTTCGAGACCAGCCTGGTCTACCGAGTAAGTTCCAGGACAGGCTCCAAAGCAATACAGAGAAACCCTGTCTCGAAAAACCAAAAAAAAAAAAAAAAAAAAAAGAAACAACAGCTTGTATCAAAGATTAAAATTTTACCTATATGGACGGTTTTTCCTGCATGTATGTGTGCACTAAGTATGTGTCTGGTGCCTAAGGAGGTCAGAAGAGGTCGTCGGATCCCCTGGGACTGGACTCACAGAACCCGTGGGTGCTGGGAATCTAAGTCAGATCCTTTGAGAGGGCAGCCAGTGGTCTTAAGTGCTAAGCATTCTCTCTCCAGCCCATCCACGAGAGACAATTTGATGGACAGCGATGAAGGAAACAAAGATTGTTACCTTTTTGTGGACTAGCGTAAGGAAAAGCTGCCTTTTGCTATCAAGTATCTAGGCAGAACTGTTAAGAACAAACAAAACCATAAATCCCCATAGCCCTTTGGTTACACAGTTGCAGACGATCAAAGGAAAGCGATTACCTCAGGACACCGGTAGAGCATGGCTGGCTCGGTTGCAGCTGTGCCCCAGACAAGGACATGGATGAAGGATGGAGACATGCCACTAACATTCAAGTGTTAGATGACCGGTGAGACCACAGATGCGGCAGCGGTTAACGCGGATGAAAGCAAACACACACAGACGGCGGACAGACAGTCAGAGCTGAGGGCGACCTGCCAAGACGAGTTAGTAAGCTCAGTGTCGCACTGGCGTTACGGAAACCACAATGCATTCTCCCAGCGGCCGAGCGGGGCTACCGCTGGAGCACCGCAGGCCAGACCTGCCTTCCTTCTGCAGAGTTAGCTAGCAACATGGGGAATTCTAGTCACCACTGTGGGCTGTTAACAGGGAAGAGACTGAAGCCCCGAGTACAGTTACAACACAGCTGGCCTGGCCTCTTGTTCCAAGGCTGAGCTGAGAAAGGGTCTATTCTCCTCGGGTGAGTTTCTGGGCCCCCTTCTGGTATGCAGAAGATGCCCCAGTCACACAGCACCCCACGGGCCAGCAGGAGAGGGCACGCCTGCCACACCATGTCCACGCTGTATCAGAAGAGGGTCCCTGAGCTGTGGTGTAGACTATGGGTTTTTCTCTCCTGATAACACGGCTGGGAACACACTGGGCTCTTTTGAATACCATGCAGTAATTGTAAAGATGTGAACACGTGCCTTTCCCCGCAGCAGGGCTGGGGGTGGAACCCAGGGCCTTGTGCATGCCAAGCAAAGAGTTCTAGAGAGCTACACACCAGCCCAAGACATTCAACCAAGCAATCGTTTTAATGGAAGCAGTCTGGAGGCGCGTCAGTGGAACACAGGCAGAGAGGTTCAAACAGCTCAGGATGGTAGCACAACAGCCCGCTGCGGATGAGGTGTAAGCGAGGAGTCCCGTTCCCGGGAAGTGCTGTTAATTTGATTTTAAAAGGAGCGAGGAAGGAAGGGAGAGGAGGTGAGATGGTCCATCTTAGTAACCAAGCGTGTGGGTTGTTGTTAAACACACAGGGCACAACGGGGCAGACTTAACTCACCAGATCTGCAATCTAATTTTCTTCCCTCTTAGTTCTACAGTCTTGATTTTAAAGTCAACACCTGGAGAGGAGACAAGCGAATATGAAGTAAAGATAACCAAGACGCGTGTATCGCAGGAGTCCCATTCGTAAGTATGGGAAACTAAAACATCGTGTGGCAGAAACTCGGAAGTGCACAGGACAGATGTGCAGTGAGCGCTCTCCCGCTCCCGCTCCCCCGAGCCCACCCCGTGCAGTGAGCGCTCTGAGCCCACCCCGTGCAGTGCAGTGAGCACTCTCCCGCTCCCGCTCCCCTGGAGCCCACCCCGTGCAGTGAGCGCTCTGAGCCCACCCCGTGCAGTGCAGTGAGCACTCTCCTGCTCCCGCTCCCCCGGAGCCCACCCCGTGCAGTGAGCGCTCTCCCGCTCCCCCGAGCCCACCCCTGGCTTATTCTAGCACCCACCCACCCCTACACAAGATTCATGACCCCAGGTGCCGTTTAGAAACCACAGCAAGGTTTACAGAGGGTGCCAAGTCAGAGATGATTCTTAGGTGGAAATTCAACCCCGATTTCAAGCAGCCTTTGTTTGAATTAGGAAGTTATTGACAAATTAAATTTTTAGTTCTCACAAGTGTTGGTAAATATGCGCATGACCCAGTATATCACTTATGGAAGAACAAACTGTTAGAGACAGGGCTGGGCAACCAAGGCATCAGCACATACACACACACACACACACACACACACACACACACACACACACACAGAGAAAAGAAAAGCCCTACCCATCGACAGATTAGCATATTCAATTTAATATTCATTCCTCTTAATATTGCAAGCAAACCACCATGTGTAATATTTTTTCTTCTTTAAAACCACACCAGTAAGCTTCAAATAAATTTTAAAAATCCAAATTTCATTTATGTATCTCATCTGACATCTTTTATAGTCACAGACAAAAGTATCTTAGGCTGAGACTTTCAAACTCAATATTCACTAGCAGAGAATCAAGGAGATTCGGGCTGACCATAGGCACCAGAAACACTTCTGTTCTGAATGTACTTCCCAGCTGCCTGCCGGGACCCCAGACTGCCGGTCCCAGGCGGCCGGGTGTGCAGGTGACCACAGCTAGCAGTGGCTCTGACTGCCCTCTGGTCATCCATTTTGGGACCTGAGGCAGCAGTGGTCAGAGGACGATCTGAGGTGAACAGAATGACATGTGACTGGCTGGGTTTAAAATTAGCAACACACTAGACATGTCAGTAAGACTGAGCTGGCGGGCAGCCCCCAGATGGACAACAGAGAAGCTCTGCGAATATAAGACACCCCAGTGGAGGCAGGTCCCTGTGCTTTGATTCTTGTTTTTATTTTTAATGTTTGCTCATTTTATTTTTGTTTGTTTGTTTGAACGAACCAGGGTCTCTCTACATAGCCCTGGCTGTCCTGGAAATCACTCTATTTTCAATTTATGGCTTGGACACGTTTCTTTGTATTAATATAAGTACACCACTGAGCGTGTCTAAAAACATCACCTCACAAGTATAAAATGACTTCACGCTTCCAGGTGTGGTGGTGCACGCCTTTAATCCCAGCACTTGGGAGGCAGAGGCAGGCGGGTCTCTGTGAGTTCGAGGCCAGGCTGGTCTACAAAGCGAGTGCCAGGACAGGCTCCAAAGCTACACAGAGAGGCCCTGATGGAAAAACAACACAAAACAAACAAACAAAAAAATGTTGCGTATCTGTAGCATCCGCCTCCCACAAAAATGGCCCGGTCCTTCGTGATAACAGCAAGCCATAAACAATCTCAACTATCTGGACTGCAGGGTGAGGGGCGGTCAGCACAGACGGCAGCGGAGAGCTACACATCCACACACAGGGACGAAGTGGGTGTCGCCTTCCTGTCTATCTACAGGCCTGCTGAAAACCCAGTTTCTTGGAGGCTTCTTGATTAACAGGCAAGCAAGCTGCCTTCCCTACCCTGCGGGTTAATGGGGACAGTCCCTGCCCCCAAAGCTGGGTCACACTGACCTACATTAATACACCACGCACTTGGCAACAGAGCACGCTCCTCTGCCATGCGCTCTTAGAGAACCTTCTTGTCTGCCCAGAAACCTTTTAAATCCTAGATTTCCCACGGAACCTTCCCTCGCCCCATCTAGCCTGCTCCCACCCCAGGTCCTGGTCCCACGCTTTTCTTTGCTGGCCTCACCCCTGGGCTGGGCTCCTCCAAAGACCTAGCATCCTTGGCTTACTGCCCAGCACACAGCAGCAACTCGATGACTCTGATGGTGACTGACAGCTGGCCTCTCTTCTCCATTAAATGCTGTAATTTAGGAAAAATTAGGGATAGTCAGGACTCACCAGTAGTTTTTTGTTGGGTTTTTTTTTTTTTTAAGACAAGAGGCAGAGGAGGCCGCTGTGGAATGGGAGTGATGGGTTTAAACGTGTGTGCACGTGTGTATAGACACATTTTACTTGGTCCACAGTTCTGCAAAGGACAGGCAGTCAGTCTTTCCAGGCTGGAAACATCTCAGAGATCACTATGGTAACAGATTACTTATTCCACTGCTTCCATGGAGTAGTAATCCCTAAACAGATTATTCTGGCTAGGCTCCCTACTCTCAATGGGTGTGGTCTCTAAACTGCGTGGCTCACGTTCAATCTTCACTTTTAGTAGCAGTGACAATTCCATCGTCAGATATTTGGTGTCTTGCACCCAAAGCATCCTGTGCTCTCGGCAGCCCAGTCAGGTGGGGGCACTGCCATGACATCTTGTAGGGAGACATCAGATCAGAGACAGCGGGTGTGTGTGTGTGTGTGTGTGTGTGTGTATGTAAGCCACATGCTAACACAACAGCACAATCACTATTCAAGTTCACGCTGTGTGAGCAGTTAAAGGCTGTCACATAAACATCAGGTGGGCGAGGGAGAGAGCTATGTGACCTGTCCTGCAAGTGGCCCAGTAACATCATAATCTCACCACTAGAGGCGAGCCTGGCTTTGCTTCCTTCTTGGTCCGTCTGTGACAGCTGAAGGAAGTCCAGAAGGGAAAACATTTCCAGAACACTTGTTTCTTTTTTGCTGGGCCCTACCAAGTTACAAAACAGAGGAGAGCAGAAATACATTGACTGCTCTTTCTTCATGTTCCTTTCCAGTCTAAAGAAAAAAACAACCTCGCTGTCCAAGTCTTGGATTGCAGACAGAGCCATGCTTTCCCCTTGCAGGACTGACTTGCCTCTCTGCCAACTCAAAGCCTGCAGCTAGCCCCAGACGGCACTGGACTTTACTGAGCAATACCACAGCCAGGGCACCCCAGGGTCTCACATAGGTCTCCGTATAAAATGGTTGTGACATTACAGTTCCGTCAGTCACTGCCTTCAGTTTGGAGTACATACCATCATTTATCATAGACAATGTCAGGCACTTTGGGATATCATATCCCTTCCTTGGCAGTGACAGACTAAATTAAGAAATGTGTCAAAAGTCACAGGGGCAAGTTCAACATTGGGTGAGAGGCACTATAATTATAATTATTATTATAATTATTAAAGGAAATGAATCTCCTGCCCAGGCTGCATCCCCCTGAGAAGAGTGCAGGGTGAATTGCACACCACGAGGGACAGAGGGGGATGTGGCCCTCTGCTCTTGCATCAAGTCCAGATTTTATTTTCATTTTATGTGCATTGTTGTTTTGCCTGCATTTATGTCTGTGTGAGAGTGTTGGCTCCCCTGGAACTGGAGTTACAGATAACTCTGAGCTGCCAACGTGGGTGCTGGGAACTGAACTCGGGTACCCTGGGAGAGCAGCTAGTGCTCTTAACTGCTGAGCCATCTCTCCAGCCCCCCCAAAGTATCTTATGGGTAAAACTTCATGGATTTATCTGGCTTTTCCTCTCCAAGCTGTGTTGTAAGGATTCAGCAAAACTAAAAACAATATTCTAATTATGAAATCTGTGATCATTTCAGAGAAAGACACTATTATAGAGCCAAACTGAAGGCGAGAGAGGGCTGGACAGATGGCTCAGTGGTTTCAGACCACTGGCTGCTCCTGAAGAGGATGCAGGTTTGGTTCCCAGAACCCACATGGTAGAGTCACCTGCAACTCCACTTCCAGGGGACCTGACAATCTTTTCTAGCCTCTGAGGGCACTGTGCACGTGCAGTGTGGAGGCATGCATGCAGGTAGAAAAGCCATACACATAAGATAAAAACCTATCTGTAAAGAAGAGGTGTGTAACCCTCCACGCACCATTACCGAAGCTCACCAGGCTGTGGACAGACAGCCCCCGTCGGTTCATGGCGGCTCCGCCTTCTCTTTCCTTCCGGCCTTGGCAAATGCATACCACCCTGTGACTCTGCCCGGCACACAGACTCACAAGACACAGCCGCATGCCTGGCTGGACCACGCAGGCACGGCAACGCAGCCTGAGGCAGGGAGAGGCTGGGAGCGCTGTGTGCCCACACCCGGAGGTAGTTCCCTTCTCACCGAAGTCACAGCAGAACCTCGGAAAATGCTGCTCGGCCTTCACAAGTAGAAGGAGCACGAACCAAGCATCCCGGTGTGCGCTGTATTCCGGGTACTGCTCTAAGAGCGTGTGCTGCCCCATCAAAGGGCATCCCTTAGCAAACCTTATCGTGCACAAGTAGACGGAGGACCGAAGCCGGTGGCCTCTTCTCCTTGCCTCCACACAGCACTGCCGGTTCTTAGTCTAAAGGGGAAGGAATAATTATGGTGCGGAACAGCTGGGGAAAGCCAGGTGCCCAACTAGCATTTTCTATGGCTCAGTGCAGGGGCCGTGAGGTGGCCGCACTACACCAGCGTTATGGCTCACACTCTTTCTTTCTTTCTTTCTTTCTTTCTTTCTTTCTTTCTTTCTTTCTTCCTTCCTTCCTTTCTTTCTTTCCTTCCTTCTAGATTTATTTATTATGTATACAGTGTCCTGGCACGTTCATGTCAGAAGAAGACACCAAATCACATTATAGATGGTTGTGAGCCACCATGTGGTTGCTGGGGGAATTGAACTCAGGACCTTTGGAAGAGCAGCCAGTGCTCTTAACCTCTGAGTCATCTCTCCAGCCCCTCACTTGCTATTTCTTACTCTACCGTGCACACTGTGCACATCTTTACAGGGTGTGGATTTTCTGGCAGTTTCTGTATTCATAGCACTGATATGGAAAACAGAACGATGGGTTATGCTTCTGGGCCAGGTACCTAGGACGCGGACTCCCTGTTTATTCCTATGCTGTGAACTAGGGAGAAAGTAGAAGGTGCCGCCAACCGTCTTTCAATGAATGAGGAACCTGTGGGGCGTGGGCTTCTTAAAGACACACTGGTGACTTACGGAAGAGCTTGAACTGGGGCCCAGATTGCTACCCGCCATGCTCCCTGATTTGGGCAGCACAGGGAACCAAACTCCCCAATCTGAGCAGCACAGGGAACCAAACTTCCCGATCTGGGCAGCATAGGAAAGGCCATGGTGGCTGAAGAACAAGAGCTTTTCTTTTTGAGTAAAAATTAGAAAAGAAAAAAAAAAAGGGATTGTTGGCTTGAAATTTCCTTCTAGTTCATCAACAGGAGAGCACTAAAATCTCTCTCTCTCTCTCTCTCTCTCTCTCTCTCACACACACACACACACACACACACACACACACACACACACACACACACGAGGAAGGGAAAGAAAAATGGGAGAAAAACATCCAAGCTCTGTATTGACTGGGAACGGTGACATCACAGGGTTCCGGCCGGCCAAGTTCAGAGGCTTCTACGTTAAGAAGGGTGGGGAACAGGAAGGCTCCTCATCCGCCTGCCCGAGGTTGGCTGGAGCTGTTCTACTCGGTGAGGCAAGAAGGTAGGAGCACAAGTGTTGGAGTCAGCAGCCGGCCACACTGAAGGGGAGGGAGACCTCTCAGGGGCACACCTGGCATGGCACCCTGTTAGGTCTGTATTGTGGCTTCCTGGCTTTGCAGGATTAAACACCAGCACAACCACACTCAATCAGGGTACTGGGTTTGGTACGTATTTTTTTGTTCTCCAACATCAAAGCCACGCATCAGAAAGAAAGGTAAATAACCAGTTTCTTCCCTCTGACGGAACACAGAGGCTCTCACCTCTTTCTTACACTGAATGGCCACTCTCTTTGTGACCGCACCCCCTCTACAGGGATGAGCCAGGCATGCAGGTGTCAGCTTTGTGCCCTATTTAAGCGGCTCCTAGAATGGTCTGATGGGGAGATACACAGAACCTCTCTAAAGTGTCGGAGGAGTGACTACTGTACAACACCATGTGTTTCCTCCCCGGCTCAGACCAATGTGTAGTTGGAACAATGTATCTGATGCCCCGGCTGCAGAGCAACTCTGCCTATCAGATTCAAAGGTCCCTCCTCTCTTCTCCAGCCAGTTCAGGGCCTCAACAGACAGCTCCCGGCAGAGGCCACAGGCCGTGGGGAAAAAAGAGGCTGTCTCTACTCTGTGTCCATGCACAGTGAAACTTTCTCTCTTCAGCGTGAGAAGCAGACAGAGGGGGAGGCTCTGGGGCCGCGTCTGTCAGTTTTTATTTTCCCTATACAGTTCACCCCAAAGAAAACCTACAGCCTTTCCCTGAAAGAGAGCCACCAGGTGTCACAAGGCAGACATCGCACAGGCCTGGAGGCTTACACTAACTCCCTAAATAAACCCGATCACAGCACACTGCTCCCTGGGTCTGCGATCCAAACCTCAGTTCCGCCCCTACTTGCTTCTCCCTGAGTTGTCTTCTCTGGCGGCGGGCTGGGCAACTGGGGAGGCTGCTGTTCCTCCACGATGGGGAATGGAAGTCTGGAATTCTTTCTTATTTTATGTGTATGGGTGTTTTGCCTGCACGCATACCTGTGGACAACATATGTGCCTCAGAACTGGAGATGCAGATGGTTGTGAGCTGCCGAGCGGGTGCCGGGTACTGAACCCTGGTCCCCCGGAAGAGCAGCCACAGAACGGCTGAGCCATCTCTCTAGCACCCCTCCCCACAATTCTCTCTTAAGCAAAACACTCAGCATCTGTGCCATGGCTTGGAAGACTGCATTTAAGTGCAAAAGTGCAATTAAAATAAAATCAGAGTTTTAACCCAGAAGAATATGTCTTGACTATTCTCACCCAAACGTCAGCCCTAAAAGTTCCAGATCAAAGAGCCAAGTGGCCTGTTTCCTCCATACCCATTCTGAAACTTACAGGTAAAGACAGCTATGACTACACTTACAGGAAAGCCGCCTGACAGCCATTTCTGCATGGTCTTACTGTTTTATGAACCCTCAATTTTGTTGTCAGTTCAAGAACTCCAGCAGGTGTGGTCCAGGCTGAAGCCTGTCCAGGTTGCTTAGGCATGCTCAGTCTCTCCGTCTCTGCATAGACTAGAGAGGACATCCTGGAAGCTAACACAAGTACCTTGGCCAATAGGTTAGCACCGCCCTCTAAGCTCTTAGCTGTCTTCTGAGACCTGGCCTGTTCAAAGGTGGGGCTGTGAAGTTGTAAGTATTGCTACAGAGGACAAAGGTCCTCAGAGGGAAATTTAAAACTGCTATCTCATCTTTCCTAATTTCTTCTATCTTCATTTTTAAACCCCCCCCCCATAATGGTGGGCTCTCTGTGCTGGGATGAGGAGAAACTAAAAACACAGGCCATAGAAGGCTACACCATGCCCAGAATCACAGCCCAGAGTCATATTGAACAGCATTTTCTAAAGGAACTTAAGGAATGAACTTAGCGTCACACAGTCCAATGGGAAGGAGTCCTCAAGAAGCTCTCAGCCCCAGCCAGCTAAGCACTCCTCCCTGTCACCTAGCTCACCGTGAACTTGGCACCCACCTGCCCCCGGAACCCACACCCTACTTTCCACTTTACCCCACAGGCAGCAGGACACCCAACACACACACACACACACACACACACACACACACACACACACACACACAGCAGGTACCCAACAAATGACCTGCTCACTACCAGGGCAACACACTACGCTCAGTGGCAGGAGCTGAAGAGGGGCCTGTGGGCATTTAGGGTCTTCAGGCTTTGATTAAGTCAGAGTTACCATCTTTCCCTAAACTCCAAAGGGGGGGATTACTATAGGTTTTGTAGAGAGTAAACAAAAACATTCAAGAAAAAAAAATCCAGCCACCCCCAGTGTCCACACACACACACACACACAATTATGTGTGTAATGGGGCCGGTTTCCTTGATCATTCCCAGATAGACTACGCAATCCTATGCTGTCCCATTGGCTGGCTTCACTCTGCCGGCTCAGAACTACTTGCCAGCCAAGGGCTCCAAGCATCCACTTCTATGAACTATGTCTAGAGTGTGGTTGTCCTGTTCTGGGGGGCGGCTCCACCCATCATCCCCTCCCTTACCTCATGCCTTCGTAGTGTTAGTATCTGCATTGATGTTTTTTCCTTCCAAATTGGACAGTCATACCTTTCGTTTTTATGTGTGTCAGTATGGGGCCATAAAAGACTGATAATTCTTAACTGCCTTCAAACCATACTGCACTGATGTCAGATACTAACAAAATAACACAAGCCTCATTTCCTGGTTAATAGCTCTCTGCATAGCTCTCACGATCCGAGATCGGATATTTGCAACAGGTATAATTATGCTACTGGATTTTAATATCACATTAAGACAAACGTTTTTTAAAAAGGGTAGAAGGAGCATAAATATTTCAAAAAATAAAAGGAAGAGGAAGAAAAAAAAAGCACTAAGGGGAATACTCAAAAAGGAAATTTAAAAAGTCAATGGAAAACTGGAGGTTTAATTTTCCAGTAAGTTCTTAAAACCGCCGAAGTTCTGTGTTACCTGGCAACTCATAACCCTTCTAAGGAGAGTCCCTAACATTCTCTACAGAATTCTCATCTGAAAATGGGAGCCGTCGGTGGCTACAACTGTAAATATGTGTACATGTTTTTAGCGTTTCAAGCCTCCAAGCTCAGACTTTGCTTGTTGGAAACAGGGATCTCTCTACCTAGCCCTGGCTGTCCTGGAACTCTCTGTGTAGACCAGGCTGGCCTCGAACTCACAGAGATCAGACGGTCTCTTGACTCCCTGTCCAGTCCTGCCTGTTTATTCTATCGAGTCACCCTCCAATCCGGGCAGCCTATCTATAGAGTCGCCTCAAATCAGAGTTCTCCGGGCAGCCTTTCCTGCCCGTCCAACGTCATTAAAAACAACTCCTTGCCATGTCAAATCCAGACCCCGGGGAAGGCGAGCAGGAGCCTTACCTACCGACTTCACCGACCTCACGTAGCAAACGGCTCTCACTTTGCCTGTCACCGGGTTATTCGAGGTCAAGGATACACACATCCGAAATCCCTCTGCCCTACATTTGAGCACAGAACCAGAAGCTGGAGGGCAGCGTTTAGTGCGAACGGTCTCTGCAGCGAATTGCTCAACTTCTTTCCACTGAGCCGTGGAAATGGATGGGAGATGAGAAAGCCAGCCCCAGCTCATTCCTCCAGCCCGTAGAACTAAGAGGTCCGATCCCACTTAGGATGGTGACCTCGGGGCGCTGCACCGGTGGCTGCTCCTCCGCCCCCGCTTTTCTTTTGCACCTCACAAAGTCCTTCCCCGGGCGAGCTGGTGTAACGGACCGGGAGTTTCCACGGATGCATCACCCCGACCTCATGACCCGAGAGAGAAGACTCCGGGAGGGAATGACCCGGCTCCGGGGGTTGGAGGGGGTCGCACACCCGCGGAAAGGTCACGGGAAACTCGGCCTGGCCCCGGGAAAGGGGTTCAGAGCTTCCAGGGGGGACCCGGCCCGTGCGCCCCTCGGATGCCAGATGTCCCCAGGGCGGCAGTGCCCGGGGGCGCGCGCGGAGAGGCCGCGGGACACCCAGCCCGGCCCCGGGAGAGGGTGAGTGCTCGCCCGAGGAGCCGGCCCCGACCTCCCCGCAGGCTCGCCCGCCCCAGGCCCGGCGTACCCACGGTGGACTTGCAGGCCTCGCAGAACGTGTCGTCGGTGAAGCGCTCCATCAGGCTGGTCTTGCCCACCCCGCGGGAGCCGATGATGATGACCTGCAGCTTGAAGTCGGCCGGCCTCGGGGGCTGCTTCCTCCGGCGGGCCTGGCCGCCCGACAGCGCCGGGGAGACCGCGCCCAGGCCGCCGCCCGCGGGCCGCCGGTGCAGCGCGGCGCTCGGATCCATGCACGCATACGGCTCGCCCTCGGGCCGCCGTCCGCGCGCCCCGGGCCCCCGCGCCCCGTCCACCCTCTCCGAGCCGCCGCCGCCTCCTCCAATGCCGCCGCCGCCGGGAGAGGAGGAAGGGAAGCAGCTCCTCCGCAGCAGCGGCAGCAGCATCCCGGACCGGGAGGGGCAGGAAGCGCAGGCGCGGCGCGGGGCGACGCCGGAGCGCGACCCCTGCCGGCCGGAGGACCGAGCCGTACGCCCCGGCTCCGCGGCGGGGCGACCTTCTCGGTCACCTCGGTGCACCCATCCACCCTCCCTCCCTCCCCGCCGCCCTCCCTCCCTCCTCCGCGCATTTCCACTCGTGGTGTTTTTCTTCCGCCGCGACCAGTTCCTGAGAACCGCGAGCTTGTATTAGCCGCTCGCCCCGCGGACGAGGTCGCAAAGCGCGTGGCCTGGGGTCGCCGCCGCCCCGAACTCAAGTCGGTTCTGGGTGTCGGGCGCCCCCCGGCCTGGCCCACGCGGGCTTCGGTGTGAAAGCCACCCTGGCGGGGCCGTGGCTCCTGCGTGCGGTTTTCCGGGGCCGGGGGGGCAAGGAATCCGCTATCTTAACTGGGTTGCTGTCTGTCTCAGACCCTTGGGTGGCGGTCCGTCCAATTCAGTAAATGCATTTTTGCGGAGAGCGAGCAGGTGAAAACTCTGATGCCAAGCGCCCGAAACTCCCAAGGTTTAGGAGTTGGCACGGGTGGGTTGTTTTGCCTTTTCCAACTTGAAAACATTTAAACCTGCCGAGGCTTGCCAGCGATTTATTTAGCAAATTCCTCCGCGTGAACTTGAGAACCTCAGAACACCGGGTTCTAAACAGGATAGGAGCTGGCACGCTCGCGGAGAGGGATCACGTTACCCACCGAATTTCAGCCGGATTTAGAACTAGGTTTCCTAATGCACAGCGCACGCGCCTGTTCCGCTGTGAATGCAGACTTGAAGAAGTCACATTGTTTTGCAAAGGCAATCACAACTGGATTTTAGAAATTCTTTCATAGACCCCCCCCCCCCCGCCGCCTTCTATCCCGGGGATAGAACCTAGAGGGTCACATTTCTCATAGGAATGAGAAAACTCTTTCCAAACTATCATTGGTACAAAAACTTAAATACAAACGAACAACAAAACAAGAAGCCATTTGGCCTGTGGCAAGTCCCAAGCATGATAGAAACGCAAGGAATTAAACTGATTCCCAACAGACAGGTGACTTGTGAGTCTGGAGACCCCGGTATCCAAAACATTATCTCTTCTGCACAAAGCAGGCTTATTATTTGCTAGAATAGTGAATGGCTTAAATGGGGGAGGTTTGGAAATAACTCCACGGGGCTCAGGCTCCATGTATGTTTATTGCTTTAAGCCAGTTATTAAGGTCCCTCGAGGTGCTCCGGCATTCACAGCTTTGGCACACACCAGAAAGTTAGTATTGCATGGATGAATGAATGAATGAATGAATGAATGAATGAATGGGCGAATGAATGAAACCATCACAGATAACCATATAAATAAAGATGTTTGGTTCTCTCTGCTTCTTCTTAAGCCCAGAATGTGTAACAAAAGGGGTGCTCTCACACCCTGCCTTACGGGACATTATTCTATGCTATCCCAAAAGATCACCATTGCCTTAGCACACAGGGAAGACCAGAACAGAACCTGGGAAAAGATAGAAGTTGGAGAAACGGGAAGGAGGTACTGAGAGGTCTGGAGACAGCACAGCCTCAGAAAACCAGGGTTGTATTTCACATCGTGGGGCATGATCAAAAGACCTCCATGTTGCGCTTTCTGAGCTTGGGTGAATTCTTCTAAATCAAATTTGCATTAGTGGACACATACAATTATACGTATCAACAGAGAACTGTGTGATGCTTTGAGTCACACACACCGTGTAATATTTAAACCAGATTAGGCACATCTCCTCACACACTTGTAATGTTTGCATGGTGAAAACACTGGGAGTCATTTGTTTTAGTTCTTTTGAAATGTTACTGTCATCTATCACCAACCCGCAGTGCCATGACAGGTAGGGACCTTCCTGCTCTGGCTGTGCTGTTAACACCCAAATGACCAATCTCTGTTGTCCTTCCCTTCCACTCCCTCAGCATCCTGCTTCTAACCCTCTGTGAGGTGAAGCTGTTTTATAATCCACACATGAGTGAGATCATGTGGTACTGATCTTTCTGCATCTGGCTCACTTCATTTAACGTGATGATCCCCAGTTCCCGATGATGCAAAGGACAGCATTTCAGTTTTTAATGGCTGAAGGATTTCCCATTGCACGTGCACACGGAACCACATGTTCCTTCTCCGTTTGTCAGTTGGTGGACACTTGGTTTGTCCCCATTCCTTGACTGTTGGGAATAGCCCTGCAGTAAACACAGCAGCACAGCGGTGTCCTTAGTGTGCTGATGACATTTTCTTCGGTGTTTATCACGTGGTGTAATGATAATGTCCCACAAAGGTCCATGTTGATTAAGGGCTTGGTCCCTAGCTTAGCGTAGTAGGGAGGTGATAGGGACACTTAGGAGGTGAGACCTTGGCTGGGTGGGGTGGTGCACATCTTTAATTCCAGCACTTGGGAGGCAGAGGCTGGTGATGTGAATCTCTCTAAGTTCAGGGCTAGCCTGTGCTGCATAGTAAGACACTTTATCAAGGAAAGAAAAAAAAAACAGACGGAAATCAGGCGGTTAGTCATCAAAGGCGTGCCTTCAGGTGGGGGTATTGGGTTCCCCACTCCTTCCATCATTGTCTCCATCACGTGCACCTCACGACAGGACCAAAACCTTGGGGGCAATTAGTCATGGGAGAGCTCCAAAAGCGTGAGCCCAGACACATTTTCCTCCCAAATGAATTGATAATCTCAGGTACTTTGTTACAGTTCCAGAAAACCGACGGACACGGGGATTGCTGGATTGTATAGCAGTTCCATTTTTATTTCTATTTACTTGTAGATTAGTGAATTATAGTCTTCTCTAAAGTTGGGTCCACGTCCAACATTTTATTCTTCCTGCTTTCTATGTTTTGAAGCAGCTCTGAAAGTTCACTGGGCGCTAAGTGTTTTGTTGGCACCATTTCCTCTGAACCATCCTTATCCTTTTATTTGGAGGCCTTTCTCTTTTCATGAAAAAAAAAAAAAAAGGCTTGCCACCAAGGACTGCCCCTGGCTGCACAACAGGATTTTCTGAACAGAGGCGGGGAAGCCTCCTACACAGCTGTTTCTTCATGACTCTACTCGGTGGGCTGGTATCTCACATGCAGAACCATCCAGAGTTTGCTTCTTGGCTGCACTTGTATTTTTGTTAGTTATTTCTTTCAGTTAACCGAGAGTCAAATGGCCAACGTGTGGAGCACGGGGAGACAACTTCAGCTGTCTGTGTGTGAACTGAGTCGCATACATGGCGTGGTGGTTTGAATGAGCCGTGTCCCCTGCAGACTCAGGTGTCTGAACGCCTGGTCCCCAGCTGCTGGAGCTCTTAGGTGAGGTTGCAGGACCTTTAGCCTTGCTGGAGGAAGTGGGTCCCTGGGGGCGGGGCCTTGAGAATTTATAGCCTTGGGTCCATTTCCTGATTGATTACCCTCTGAGATCTCCCAGTTTGCTGATCTGGCTTCCTGCAGCCGAACCTCTCCCGCCATGTGGACTCTCTGTGGATAAACTCTTCGATAGGTTGCTTTCGATGTTTTCTCACAAAAACCAAGAGGCAGAAACACAACTGGTGTCGTAATAGCGACTCCGACTCCAGTTCTCAACACCGATTGACAACCTTTGAGTTTCACGTCTCGCTCTCTTCCCGAGGGGCTGGTGAGGGAGCCAAAGCATGCAAACTTTGGACAGCCCTCCCCTCTGCTCACTGTGAGCGTCCCAGCCTCACTCATTCCTGGGTAACTCAGGCCATTTTTCATAGCTGCTTGAGAGGGCTGCCCTGTTCTCTCCAGAAAGGTTCAATTATGGAAGCAGCAAGCAGCGTGAACAATAGGCTCACCCTCCTCTAGGGGCAAGTGCAACCTCATCAGTCTTGACATCCAAAACCCGTATCGGTGGACATCCATGCTGTCTTTCCCCTGGAGTGTACCCAGGGGGCACGGCTGGTCACGGCTTAAAATGGGTGTGTTGTTACTTATATGGTGATCAGCGTTGACACTTTCTGTAATCGGCTCGTGCAAGTATCCCATGCAGCCGAAATGAGAACTGTTGATAACTGGTATTATCTAACTAATTGTGACATGGGGCATTTTCCTTTTCAGAGCCGCACAAAGAGGGCTGGCTTATAAAGCACTAAAATAAAACAAGACCGGGAACTGGATAGCGATGGATTGAGAAACACATGCAGAGTGAAGACTAGACACGGACAGGCAAAGAGGCGTCCGTCCACCTTCTTGCTAAGGTGTCTTTTAGCCTATCTCATCCCACATCCCCAGGAGACACATGGCATTACTCGCCCCTCCCATTGTTCTAATTATAACACAACCCCTTGCTCTCTCCCGGGAGAGCACACCAGAATCCCGGTGAGTGGCTACAGTAATCTACTTAACCAACACACACCCTTCTTCACCCCTAACAGAAATTAGACTTTTGTCCAGTTACCCGCGATGCCCTGTGAAGTCACGAGCTTCAGGCACAACTTGCCAAGGCAGCAAGAGCAGGGGGCTGGATGTCCATTTTCTAAGTCAACCATGTGGATTCTCGTCCCCTTGTCTGCCAGTGGCTTAGGAAGCAGCGTATGATCAGACTGGCCACCGAGAAGAGGCCAACAAAATCTTTCCAAGGATGGAGGCTTCTGGTAAAGTGTCAGTGGTAAGAAAAAGAAGACCCAAGGCAGAGCCTGGGACCTTTTGTGGAATGTTTATGGCTGCCACCACTATCTTGGCACCTGGAAAAAGGCTGGCTGGCATATTGTAGCTGTCAGAGTGGGGAGAGTGGGACTTTGGGGTGAGAAATGAGAAATCACATATATGAAATGACGTAGTATTTGTATAAAACTCATGCACCTTCCTTTATTCTTCACATTTACTTATTTATTATTAAGACAGGCTCTCACTATGTAGCCCTGGATATGGTATCCTAATGTTCAGAATTCACTATGTAGACCAAGTTGGCCTCAGATGTTGAGAGATCCACCTGCCTCTGCCTCCTAAGTGCTGGGATTAAAGTAAT